TGTTCCCAAAACTACCTTCTCCCTGATTTTTAAACTCCATTTTGGTCAAGAATCAGTAGTTACAAACTGTTAGGGTTACTACAACAAAAAACAGCACTTGGACAGTCGATCACAATCAGAAATCAGTATGGAATCAATGCAGGTCTGATATGAAACCAATCTGTAATCACGGTATATGCATGAAACTAGTGCAGGTCTGATCTGAAACCAATCGGAAATCACAATATATGCATGAAACCAATGTAAATCTGATCTGAAACCAATCAGCAATCACAGTACCAAGTCCGTACAAGTTTTTCGCCCCCTAAAAGAGCTCGAAACCAAAAAATAGGTCTGAAACCAGCTTAGAGAGCAATCTGAGATGCTGGAACAAAAATAGGGTTTTAATCGTAGGTCTGAAATAAGTGCTCAGTCGCACTTTCCAAGCAGTCCGTATAGTTAGGTCTTGTCGTAGGGTCAATGTGAAACCCTAAAACTGATCACCTCTGAGAGAAAACCCTAAAACAAGCACTTTCCAAGAAGATAAAAGAGTTCAGCCCAACAGTCAGGCTTGCCGCAAGGTTAATGCCAAACCCTAGAATAGAGAGAAAACCCTAAAACAATTCGGCCACTCCTTCTAGATAGGTCCAACCTATCTTGACTGATAGCAATCTCTAGAAAATAAATAAGACTTACCCAGAGAATGTTGTTCGCTACCTTCCATGGTTGCCTGAACCCTAGCCTTCTCTGATTCTTCCTGATTACCAACACTCTACAAGCCGTGGCAAGCCTTCAACAGCTGCTAAACTCTTCTGGTAACCTCCAAGAATCAGCCAACGAACACTTCTTCATAAACTTCCAGCCCTAGATAGTTCTCATGTGGTCGGTTGGACTAGACTCACATGAGAAACCCTAGATAGGCTCTGATACCAAGTAGGCGATCAAGACTACAATCAGCCTTGAACCCTAATAGATTTCAGATTAGGAAAGGTAGAAGAAAAGTAAGAGAAAGAAAGAAAAGAGAGGAGAAGAACTGGAGAACACAAAGGTTTGAAAGAAGGGACAGATTCTTATTGACCTGCCGCTGCCACTCTCTTAKTATTTATTGGTTATGTTCAGTACATAGGGGAAAAAGATAGATCTGCCCTTAGTACTTACATGATAAATAAAGCAAATAAATAACTGAAATAACAAACTGACCACCAACTAAAACTAACATGACTGAAACAAATAATTACACATACTGTCCTACGAACACAATGGGGACCACAGCTGTGGGGCCCACATCAGTGTTCTCTACATGGATCAAAGAGCTGTAAAGGTTTACATCATTTCACCATACGTGGAGATAGATGAGTGGTTACTAACATGCATAGTCGTGTTTCTATGGGTAAGGGTTCATTTGAATAGTGGGCAGGGTTATTGGACTTAACGCAAATCACATAGAGTGAGTAGTTCAGTAGTTGCTATTAATAAGGAGAGTTAATTTCTACTAGGAGAGTCAGTTAAGGTGAACATTTATCGATTTTTGTATTTAATCAATTATTCCAAGTGGCAAGGTAGCTTGTTATTGAAGCAAGGTGCCAACCAGCTGGTTGTAGAAGAGACTTGGGATCAAATCCCACCTGCACCTGGGTTGGGGGATAGGCTACCCCCCCCCAAGTTGTGTAGCCCTTCAAAAAGAAATTAAAAAAGGTATCTTGTTATTTACCAATTTCAGTCCAATACAACTCTTTTTAGTTTGGATGCTTTTGGGTTTCCTCAAACTAATCCAATCTACATGACTTCCTTTCTCTACACCAATATATGAAACAGTGTATTAGTGAAAAAGGAGAGTTAGATACAAGGAAACAAAAGGCCAATTCAGTTGAGAGAATTTGGTGTTTGATTGAAGTGTTGATTGAAGAATTGAAGGCACAAGAGAGTGAGAATTTTCAGGATTGTGTGGGAGAAGTGAATAGTGTTGAGGCAAATGATAAGGGGGATTAGTTGAAGGAAGAATATGGTAGAATTTGTATAAATGATGGGACTCTAGGTTAAAAAAAAAAAACAATAAGGTAATTATGAGGAAGAGTGGTGGGGAAGGAAAGAAAAGACAAAGAAAGATGAGTGAGGTAGAACAGTTGAAATTGGATGTCTATTGTGGCACGGATTTAGTGGAAGAGGGGAAAGGAGGAGGAAGGTAAGGTAGTCCAAGGAAAGGTTTTAAAATATAGGACAAATGAATAACATTAGTTTGAATGTGAGAGGTTTAGGGAGTGCCAGAAAAAAAAATGATATAAAGGAGGCAATTAGATTAGAAAAAAAAACAGGTGTTGTCATTCTCCAAGAAACTTGGCTCAGGCTGATTTAGATAGGACATGGGTTAGAAGCCTGTGGAGTGCTAAGGGAATAAGTTGGCCCTTGACTCCATCTTGGGGTGCATCAAGAAGGATAGCAACCCTTTGGAAGAATAGGTTTTCAATTTCAACCAAATTGAAGCAATTGGATGATGGATTTGAATGGGTGTTGACCAATGTCTATGGTCCTAATGACTATGGGAAGAACTCACTGACATTAGGAATAGAAGGGGTCTTTCAGAATGAGGACCACGCTATAGCTATGTCTTCTAGTCCGGTTGGAGAAGGGGTTTCACTAAGGGCAAAAGAGCTTAATGATAAGAAATTGATCATTGAAGGTGACTCAAAAGTGGTGATAGGATGGCTATTAAATGAAGAGTGAGCAATGTGGAACTACAGAAATGATGAAATCAAGAAGTTTATATGGCTCAGTAGTAGCTTCCAAGGGAAGATTCAATGGATGCAAAAATCAGCCACTTCTTTGGTTGATGCTTTAGCAAAACAAGGGATTAACAGAAATCAAATGTTTTTGGGCTAAACTGTACTTCTTTGGGCAAGGGTGAGGAGGTAGGGTGGTCTACCTCTTGTATTGACTGATGTACAACTTCTTTTTGGGTCGAAACTGGATGTACAACTTGTCCACATTTGTTTATTATTAATAAAATTATTTCTTGGTAGGGGTGAACATTGTTCTGTTAAAACCGAAAAACCAAATTGGTATGCGCTCCATACTTTATTATCTCTATGGTTTCAGTTTTTTGGTTCGGTTATTTTGGTTTTGGTTTTCAAGTATGGAAATTCGGTTAACTGAAACCCCAAATTAACCAAACTTTATTATCTCTATAATATATATATATATATATTTTTTTTATTAGTGACTTGTCAGATTTATTAAAACAAAGCCAAAGATAGTACAATTTAGGGAGAGGCATGAAATGCTACCTCCCCTTTAAGGAGGGGAGATGGAAGAAACCATCAACCCTTTAGTTAAAGAACATAACAAAGGAAAAAGAAAATTACAGAGAAGCCCAATAATGAAACCCAAGTAGCCCCTTGTTTAGCAAGATAATCAACCAAGGTATTAGCCGATCTACCCAACCACTGAACTCTAACTGTCATGCCCCTCAATAGCCATTTGATTAAGTTTTGCACTCCAAGTTGATAAGCAATCTGTACCCCCTGTGCCGCAGCTAGGAGTTCAACCTTCCCAGAGTCTCCTATTCCCATCGGTCCCGAAAAAAAAGGCAATGATGTTGTTGTTCTCATCTCTCAGTACATCACCAATCCCAGACAGTCCCGGGTTACCCTGACTACTTCCATCAAAGTTCAGCTTAACAAACCCTCCATCAGCGGAGTCCAAGTTACTTTAACTCTAGGCTTTCTAGAGGAAGTGAGGGCAACTGCAGACCAAAGAGCTTTAAGAATTTCAGCCACAAAATAGTCCTTGTAACAATACACTCTTTGACCTCAAGAGTGCTTATTTCCTTCTCCTGAAAAATTCTGGAATTTCTCTCTTCCCAAATAGTCCAAAGGAGAGCTGCTCTTATACACTTCAACATGATTCTCCCTCTTCTTGTGGTCCACACAAAGGTAGAAGGGGAAAACAACACATTTACCTCAGCTGGCAAGTTCCACCTGCACTCAAACAAATCAAATACCCAATTCCAAATGGCTGCAGCAAAAGGACAAGAAATCAATAAGTGGTAACAGTCCTCATTTTGCGCTTTGCACAAAATACACCAGTTCTTCTACAAGTTATTCATCGTATTGATTTTACCATAGTAAGCTTCCCAACAAAACACAACTATTTTTCGGGGAATAGGCCTAAACCAAACTTCCTTAACTGGGAAAGCCCGAGGAGAGGAGCTGGAGCAAAGGGAATTAAAGAAAGATGCACAAGTAAACGACCCTTTCGGAGTCAAAGTCCAAATCCTCCTATTAAAAATGAGTGGGTCCAGACAAACAAAATCAAATAACAATAAGAGCTCAGAAACTAATAAGGATTCCTCGTCCCTCAACCCTCTACGGAAGTCGAGATCTCAATTTGTATCTCTATAATATATATATTAACATATAATATAATACATATATAAATATGTAAAAAATATATTATATTGCATTATATTATATATTAAAATATAATTTATTATATATATATGTAATATATAATACATATATAATATCTATAATATATTAAAATATATATAATGATGAAATTCGGTTTTAACCGAAATAACCAAAAACCGAACCGAAAATTTTGGTTTTGGTTATTTCAGTTTCGGTTCAATTTTTCATTTAAAATTTTGGTTTTAAAAGTTTCAGTTTATTCAGTTCAGTTTTTAACCAAATAAACCGTTTGCTCACCCCTATTCTTGGTTACTGATAAAAAAATATTTTTGGAGAGCCAAATTTGATCATCGTACAGCCACTTCGAAGGATCTTCCAACAACCCTCTTCCAGTAGCTTCTTCAAAAGCAGATTAAGCAAAGTTGAGCCTTCCCAAATACACAATAAGTTATTCAAAAGCTCAACCTTGCAGTATGCATGCAATAGCATGAGAAACAATTGCAACTCACAGAGTCTGTGAATACTTGATGAAAATATTCTCACATTTGAATAGACTTGAAATTCTCTACCAAGCCATTACAAATCATACATACCAAGTTACACCACAAAACCTACCTCAAGTGCCTTAGCATAGGAGTTTATAAAAAGCTGAGACTTGCCAGCTATTGTCCGTGCATGCTGCCTCAAGTACCGGCTTATTTCCATCTGTCACAAGAAGAAAAGATTGAGCCAGAAAATGCTTAAAAGCATCCACAGAGTTGCAGAATCATGTGCCTCATAAGTGATGTTGCATACATCTATTGCACCACCACCAGCAACAACAGTAGAGTTCTTCAGAGCCCTTCTGACTATCATTATTGCATCATGTAGACTCCGTTCAGCTTCCTCAATGAACTGAAAATGATTTAAATCAGACCTTGATTTAAGCTAAACACTGCACTGCAATGTGCTGTTTAAAGAAAACAACAGACCTGATCAGCTCCACCACGAAGAACAATAGTTGCTGTCTGACCAGATGGACATCCACTAAATATATTAAATCTCTCATTCCCAACTTGTCTTTCCTCAAAGATCTCACACGTCCCTAGAACCTTCACAGTTAATTCTGACATTTCAGCTTAAATAAACAGAAGATAAATAAAGTGCTTGATGACCTAGAAGACCAAATTGCCTGATCAAAAGCTCATAGAAGAAGAATGTCATGCATAGTAGTGACTACGACAACAGTGTTTAAGTAAAGAAGGCACAAGGCAGATACCTCATCAATAATGTTGTTGACAGAAGTTTGTACAGTTCCACCAGTTGCTGCAGCAACACATTGCAGATCCTCCTCGGTTACACGACCAGCACAGAAAATATCTCGGTCTGCAAAATACTGCACAGAAAACTATAGAGATTATTCACCTGGCATGATACCTAATTTTTACACATCTTTAGCATATTTCAAACTCATATAACATGTTACCTACATCATCAGCAATCAAAGTAGAATGGAATAGCAGAACAGGGTTCGTGTAGCTGACCCCCATATGGTTGGGACAAGGCCACAAGGGTTATGATGATTATAATCATCAGCAACCAAAAACTTACAAATAAAAATAAATAATTGGAGAGAGAATTGAGATAGAAAAGTAAAGGTGAAAATAAATGCATCGATTATTAAATTTAGCTCTACAAATACCACAAAAATTCACAACATTTATGTGCACATGTTGTCAAAAACTTGGGAAAAAAACAATAGATTTAACTTTTAAAAAAAAAAAGGCCATGTTGAATATATAAACGAAAATAACATTAGACTTCCAAGTAGATGCCGTTAACCTGACAGCTTTTCAGAAAATTGTTACCTGTGTTGCTAAATCACCAATTGCCAGCCTTGAGAGGACAATTTTAGCCCCACTCTGAACACATTTGTCCAACTTGTCATAGATTATATTCCATTCAGCATCAACAATTGATTGATATTGTAAGGGATCCGAAAGCCTGCAAAATGCAACAACAAATCAGGACTAATTAGGAAGAAACAGCTTCTCAGTTCAAATGTAAAACTAGAAGAATCAAACTCCCACCTTATCTCTGCATTTTCTTTCTCCGACTTTAATTCCAACTCAATGTTCAATAAAAGTATTTTTGGATTTAGAAATTTCTTGGGTTGCTGCTCAAAACCAGCATAAGAAAATGTCTTCTTGAAGGCAACACCATTTACAAGAAAAGAGTCTCGCATATTCCCCCCTGGAACCTATGGTAGAAAAAAAAATGATATATATGACTTTTTTTTATCAGTAATATATATGACTTCAAACAAACATTTTTTTCCAGAAGTCCTATAATTACAAGACAATAGATGAACATTCAAATGCATAGAATCCATTTATCATCTTGAACCAAAATGGACCACTCAGATCATATGGCCATACCTTAAAAAAAAATCTGTTGAAAGGTAATGCAATCAAGTTACCAGAAAATTTGAATAGTAGAGAACAAAAAGGAACATATAAACAGGTCAAACCAGCACTACGTATGTTGGAATCAAACAGAACATACACTATAGCTTCGCACTAAATGATTTTCTCAGAGCATTGCTCTCATGAAATCTTAATGGAAAAAACCACATTGTGATGATTGTTGGAGCAATTTTAGTTGTAAGCATCAAATATACTGATTGGAAGCTAATATTTCTTGACAATGTTTTGGCCAAAACAGCTATAACACAGGAAAGTACATAATGATTTCTCTCTCCACCTACATTGAGTGGACAAGCCCTGGATTATCAGAGTCCATACTTTCTTAAGTTAGCCATATCAAAGTTTAGACCAACTCTAACAGTCTGACTTCCATTGTAAATCAAAATAAAAGTATCAATAAATTGAAAATTACAAAGAGTAAATAATATAAAACCTAATAAACTTCCAAGGTTAGGAAAAGTCCCATATGCAGAAGGCATAGAACTGCAATGGATGATGGCACTGTCCACTTGGCTGGTCTAGAGGCTTCGCAAACAAATAAATACTCCAGTTTAACCATGGTCCTCCACATAAAAAAAAAAAAGCCTTATGTTAACAGCATGAGCAAGAAGGGCTGCATAGCTAAGAGGAAAGGATACCATGCATGTCAAATGGACAATATTTGCTTGGCCAATCTACAGATTTCAAACCTTGGGGTTGACCACTGTAGAATAGACTGCTACATCTAGATCTCACAAGGGGGCTATTGTTTTGTGCAGGTGGTAAAATCTTGTGCTACCAAGCATAAGAATGTATTATGCACTTGACAAATACACTAAAAGCCCTTGGACTATGTATAGAGCCAAGATGTTAAACCATTAATAAGACCATTACATACCACCACACTTTGCAGCCAATATGCCTGCAGCTTTTCACCCTAGGCAACTGGTGGCAGGTAGTCCTCTCACGTGGCCCTTTTAGTTATTCAAACCTGAGATATGGGGTAGGCTCCAATACCAATTGTCATGTACTTGACCAATACAACAGAAGCCCTAGAATATTGAACACATACAACCAAGTCATTTAACCATTAAGACCATAACAGAACGTAGGCTCAAGTCTTAAGTACATCCACTTTGTGCAAAACTGAAAACGGAATGCCAAAGAAATAGGTCTGTTTCTTGTCCACCCTTCCCAAGATCCCAGATAACTGGGACTAACATGAGGTAATGGCCTTACCTAGATACGACGAGTACATGTGACAAAACAGACTTTGGAAATGGACTTTATAGCAGAACTATAGGTGGATAGCACAGAAAGTGAACGGGTTTTGAAGTATCCATATAACAAAGAGCTCAGTTAAGATATCTGAGAAATATACTGGGCAGTTGAGTGGAGAACAGATACTAAAGTTGATGTGGAGATCTCTTGGGCATAGAATGTCATGACTTATCGAAGATGTTTTGTTACTCTCCTAGAAGTACACTATGTGCTGAGGAATATGTCCACATACAAAATCGGAGGTGACATATAACAAATGACATGACAAGTCAATCACCGCCTGTATCTGCTTAAATGTTTCTACAATGTGATTTCATCCAATAGAGTTTGAAAGATTTAAGTACAATATGTGCCAAGGAATGACAAGTCAATCACTGCCTGTATTTAATTCAGTTTCAAATGCATAACAGCTGCACTAATGGGTTGAATGCTGAATGATGAAAAGATTCCACGTGAAAAATCCATTCAAACAAGGGGTATTAGAATTACAACCTGTTGACAATAAAGAGGGAGCAAGTTCAATCCCTAGCTCAACTGGTGTTTTTTTTTTTTTTGAAAGATTTAAGGGGGCCAAGTTCAGCTGTTTTTTTTTGATGAATAATAATAAGTTTATTGATTCAGAAGCAAATTAGAGTGAGTTCATACATCATCCCAACGAGAGGCGCGAGCTGCAGCCCCTCCTTGAAACTTACAAGTGAAATAGGAAAGAAAAACAAGAATCACAACTGAGCCCAAAATAATTCTTCCCTATTTACCCCTTGCTTAACTAACACATCTGACAAGG